GTGTGGGGGGTGAACAGAGTGAAGACACTGAAAATGGGTTATTTTATATGTTCTTCACAGAAAATGAGCAAAGACAAAGAATCTGAGGTTAAAATAATAATAAATCACATCATTTTTTCTTTTGGTAAACACTGAAAATGGGTCCCACAGACCCGAACACCACACAAGGGTTAAGCTTTTAGTCTCTAACCACCTCCAATCAGCCTGCGACTGTTTGACTTGATTTTAGTTATGTTTAATGTGATTTTTGGGATGTTTTAGTTATTGCTTCATTGTTATTGTTGTATTTTTTATTTATTTTAGAATTTAATTTAAAAAGCTGCTGTTTACATCTTTGATTTCTTTATTCATTTCATTAATTTTATTTTTTATTTGTCCTCATTTTGTCTAATTTATTAAGTTACTATATTGTTGTAATTTTAGTGGTTTATTGATTTATTTTTTATGTACTACTATGATTATTATTACTTTTTTAGCATTTGATATGTTTTTACTATATAACTTCTCAATCCCTGATTTCTGTAATGGCCCAGCTACAGTGTAAATGAGGGTCTCCCTCAGTTTACTCAGAGCTTAAATAAAGCTTGATTGATTTTGAACATCAGACTGCTCTGAATGACTTTGTTTACATCTCAGTGATGAAATTATGCAGCAAGTTTGAAAAACTAATTAAATGGCATAATAAAAACCCTTCTGTTTAATTGTAATGTATATAAGGTTGTTCCATTTTATCTGGCAAATGATACGAACTAAGTTTAATAGGTTTTCCCTGCCACCTTTTATGTCATAGTGGATATCACTGTCATCATCTCGATGACATTAAAAAGTGTTTGAGTTGTGCTGTGAGCTGCTGCTGTACTTACGGTGGAGCTCGCGGCCAGTAATGAGACGGCATCCGCTGTCCCTTTGTGGCAGCTGTCAGTTCTGATGGCTTCAAGTCGCTCTCTCTCTCTCTCTTTCTCTCTTCTGAATGATGAATTGCCATCTGTTTTGTGGAGACTCGGCCTTACTGCTGCCTGTAGGTACTGCTATCATAGCTGTGACTCAGGGACGGGAAACACTTTAAACCTTTTCTTATGTCAGCACATTAAAAACTACCGTTAACTGAAACATGCACTTGTACTTTGTGTCTTCAAATTTTCATCACAGACTATTTCCATTACTTTTCCAACAGCGCTTTTAATTGTACTTAGTTTACTTTCTGTTGAAGTCGTGCTCTTCCCATTCCTTTATTGTACTGTGAAGTCTTGGATGTTTTCCCTGGGTAAATGCAGTTATCTTTAGTGTTAGTAGTAGTAGTGGTATTACGTTTGATCCCTTCAAAATGGGATAACTATGGTTAAAAAGAGCTTTAATTTCTACACAGTTTACATGATTTACAATGCTTTCCACAAATTTTGGCACCACTGGTAAATTTATGAGCAAAACAGCTGAAAAAAAATCTTAATTGCTTATATTTTTAATCTTGCATTCAGCAAAAATCTAACCTTTATTAGATGTACAATGATGGAAAGAGAAAAAAACCTAAATCTTATCATGAAATAAATGTTTTTCTCAGATCTCTGTGTGCCGCAGTTGTTGGCACCACTAGAAATTCTTTTGAGTGAAATCTAACTAAAGTATGTTCCCATTCATTATTTTATGTTTTAAATTTAACCAAAGCGATTAGGAACACTTTAGTGGTCAGCCATGACTTCTTGTTTTCACTGGGGTATAAATATGAGGTGTCACACAGGCCATTGCTCACCTCTATTATCAGGGCAATAGTTAAAAAGTTGAAAACAACTGGGGATGTTAAAAATCTGCCGAGAAGAGGATGTGTGTTGTTACTGACCCCATGCATGGTGAGGATGGTTTGAGTGTCCAAACAGATTGCAAGGATCACAGTTGGGGAATAGCAGACATTAGTTAGATCTCGGGACCAGAGTGCCTCCCAAGCTACAGTCAGACGCCACCTATATAACCACAAGTTGTTTGGGAGGGTTGCCAGAAGAAAACCAGACACTACTGGAACTTTCCATGTTCCGTGGTCAGATGAGACCAAAATAGAGCTTTTTGGCAACAAACACAAGTGGTGAGTTTGACATAGACACGAAGATAGCCATGCAGAAAAGTACCTTGTGTGAAGTATGGTAGTGGATCTGTGATGTTTTGGGCCTGTTTTTCATCTGCAAACTCTGGACAACTTGTAGTTTTAGAATCCTTCAAGTACAAGTGAATATTATATCATAACCTGACTGCCTCGGCCAGGAAGCTTAAGCTGGGCTGTGGTAGGAACTTCCAGCAGGACATTGATCCACATCAAACCTCAGTATAACCACAAACATGGTTCACTGACCATAGAATTAAGGTTTTGCCACAGCTGTCCAAGTCCCCTGACCTTACAGCCCATTTTACTGGTGTCTACAGTGGTGCTAATATTTGTGGAGGCCACTGTTGTACATATCTTCAAATTGGTGCTGACTTTCTGCATCATAACCTCATAATCAGACTTAGATGTGGATTAACAAGCACAAAATTAATCTAAACTCAAAGAGAAGATTCTACATGTACAGTGTTTGAAGCATCCAGACTTGTTTATTAATTAAAACGTGTCTCGACGATCGCCATTTAGGAGGACTTACACTGGGACAATGAAGAGACCCACATGGTTTCTTTCGCTGTAGGAATCTGTTTGGCTTGTGCTGCCTTAGGAAATTTGGTGTCCATGACAAAGAATTGTTTTCTTCTTACACAGATGATGTGCAGCCTGTTTTGGAATATGCACTTCTCGGACAGGGAATAAATTTAAATATGCATTTCTTGCCAATTTTAGTGCTCTATTTCTGTTTATTTGCTGAGTTTAACATATTGGAAAGAAAGAAAAGCATAAAATATAAAATGTGCCAAAACTTTTGCACAGGCCACAAGTTCAGCAGACAGAAGCTGTGCATTAAAATGCTGTGTTCTCTGTAGAGGATGTGTTGAATTTATTTTCACTTAGAAAATCAACAGAAATATGTCATTTGGCCAGGGGTGCCCAAAATTTTGCATACTGTACTGAAACTCAGTTCATGAAGTTGGAATGACTTCAAAAAAGTCTGCGGAACAGTGGGCCGAACAAACACAACGTATTTAGATGCACTTCGAATCCTCTGGCTGTGTTCCCTTATAGAGAGATGTAAACAATAGTGCTTGCCAAAAAAAACCCAACCTCAGAGACTCGCAACCTCAGGACGACACAAGCCATCAAACATACTGCCAATTTTTGCATTGCATACTTTTCATAATGTTTTCGAGAGTGACATAATCCATAAAAATCCATAAAATCATTGCAAGCTAAAAACGAGAGTAGCTGTGTGAGGGATGAGTGTTACGCACATTCAGACTATTCAGTAACCAAATATCAGAGAATATTCACGTCTGTTAGTGTTTGTTTAGTTTATAAAGTAGATATAGAGCTTCATTCAAATAAGCTGACCAAAGATATGTTAGATCATTCATAAAAAAGTCACTCCCGAAAACTGTTTTTACTGGAATATTACTGTCATTTTTATGTTCGTTTGTTTTTATTCTTGATTATCTTTTCTTCCTCTGTTGTTTTTACTTTGTACTGTGAAGCACTTTGAGCTGCATTTTTAATGTATGAAAGGTGCTGTATAAATAAACATTATTATTATTATTATTATTATCATCATAAATGGTCAGATTAATTATAGTCACTTTATTTATGGTCAGTAATGCCATGTGTAGTGACCCATGGTTACGAAGTTCATCCCTAAATGGTTTTTATATGCAGTTACTGCAACAAAAAGAAGCACTGTCCTGCCCTGCCTGTATATTAAATTCTTCGTATATTAAATTGTTTTCTGTGATGATTTGATGGATTTCAGTTATTATCAAGTTATTAAAAGTCCTTTTTTTCTTTTCTTGATTATTATATTAATCACTATTGAGCAAGTTTGTAAAAATATACAGATTAGAAAGATGCAGATTAGAATTTCAGTGACAATTAACTAAATTAATTAACAAAACAACTGACACTGTAAGAGGCAATAAAACTGAATCTCTGTACCAGGACTGGCCAAAGCACTGTAACCCTAAGAAAACAAACATTAACCACAAACATTGTGCTTTGCACCTCCAAGACAAGCAGTTTGGGCATCCCTGCTCTGAATATGTATAGGAAAATATCGTTGCTGTCGGAACCAAACCTCTTATCTCCATTTTTGCCGTTTTTCGGTTTTTGACATATTTAGAAAATTCCTATTGCCCTTTACATTGTCTGTAAATTTCATGATGATTGGACCAAAAGTCTGGTTCCATTGACTTACATTAAAAAAAAAGTATGTTTTTTCCTTCTCCTGTAAAGTTACTGTGTTTTAGATACAATGTTTTGATCTGTCAGCAGCGATATATTATATTATATTATTAGTCCTGTTAAAAATATACAGAGAGATACAAGAGATCAGCAATACTTTGAACACCCTTGATTGATCTTTTTTTAATTCTTCATTCATACATATTTAATATCACCTTTTGAGAGCAGCACTGATAGATTTATCTTAATCTTGTCTAACAAAAAAATTATATTTAATTATATGGTGTTTAAAAGCCTATAATAATATATGAAATAATAACTAACAAATAATACAGTCACTATGTTATTCCGAATTCACTGTGGTGGAATACAGAGCCAAAGGAACAAACAAATGTGTCACTGTCAAAATCCTGGACTGCTTTGTATTTTCTATTACACACCTAGATATTTCTAATCAACTTCAACTTTCTCCCTCGGTAATGAATCCTATTGCAATTCCAGGCAGTGTTTGTTCGCAGTGTGAATCAATACAAATCACAGTTCAATTACTCGCACAACTCAGTGTCATCTACAGTGACAGACTGTAGTGCCTCCACGTTTGAGTGCTTTTCTCCTTCCATTCTTTTTTTTACTGATTTGATTATCTCAATGTTTTGTGCTTCTTTTACTCCACTCTTTAATGTCGTCTGTGTTTCCTCAGGGATTTTGCAGAGAACCATATTGAAGTGCTGAACTACTCCACATTGATGACATGCAAAGAGCTCACAGTGCTGTAAGTTCTATAATGCTTTTTTATACTTATTTTATGCATCTATACTGAAGTTTGTACATCTTTATATACTATTATCTGCAGTTAAGGTCAAAATTATTAGCCCCCAAGGTGATATGGAATATTTTCCTACAATTCTGTTCAATGTTAACATCACAAAACTGTAAAATATTCATCAAGGCCCCCATTTGGTACATTTTTACATTTTTAAAAAAGGCTAAACTGGAGCTGTTCAGGCACTTGGGTGTTTCCTTTGTTTGGCGAAAGAATGGAGAGGCCTTTAACCCCAAGAACACAGTTCCCACAGATAAACATGGTGGAGGGAACATAATGCTGTGGGTCTGTTTTGCTGCTTCAGGCAAAGAAAACCTTGCCCGGGTAAATGGGGTCATGAAGAAAGAAGGTTATGTTGACATTTTGAAGGATATTGTGAAGAAAGAGGCTGCCATTCTGGCTTTAGGTTACTGTTGGGTCTTCCAGCAAGAGAGTGACCCCAAGCACACATCCAAATTGGTCCAGAACTTTTTGAAGGACACCACAATCAAGGTCCTTTAGAGGCCCTCTCGAAAGCCCAAATCTCAGTCCTATTGGGAATCTATAGCAGGAGCTCAAGGTCATGAAAGCCATGTAATTCGGATAAGCTTCCATGGAGGAATGGGCTAAGATCCCTCCAGACATGTGCCAACACAGTTAGGAACTACAGTAAAAGGTTGCTGTGAGTCAGAAAGGTTACAGTATTGACTGTTGTTAGAGGCCTAAAATTTTTTTCCTTGTCATTTTTGTTTTTTCTTGTTTCAACTCAGTGCATCAGTAAAATATCATCCTCAAACTTTGTGGAGATTATGTCTTTCTTTGTTTGGAGAAGCTAATTGTTTTGTTTGATTTCAAAAAGGGGGCTAATAATTTTGACTTTAACTGTACATTAGAGCTTTAATCACACCCGATATTTTGGTCTGTACCCGAATACAACCCCTTTTTTAACTTTGACCTGAGCACAACAAAGTTCTCAACAAAATTCTGTCCAAAAAAACTGATATTTCTAGTGACAGCAGCGATCAAATTACCATGTAACGACAACAATAGCTGTTACTGGGTCACAAATGAGGTAAAACATGTAGTATAAAATAAAATGATAAATCATCAGCTTCACAAAATTAAGCTTAAATCCCTCTTTAACAAATGCATTCATCAAGCAAAGCCTCTAAACAACATCCTGAACATTTTCAGCCTGGGTACACTTTCCACAATGCGCTGTTCTCACTCACTGTGGTGAAAGATGTTAGCCTATTTCGTTACATAGAACATGTTATACAGGCCTATAATATTTTCAGCACAATGTACAACAGTCTTTGCAAACAAATTAAAAGTCCTTTTGAACTTAGCTTTCCTGGATCGATTCACTGTTTATTTTCCACTTAACCATTTAATCACAGGCATTGGGCTTGTGGGCCTCGATGCTAAATTCTGTCCGCAGCACGAGTGACACCAGCATGCTAGATTTTTTGAGGGAATGTATAAAGCAATGGGGACATGCATAAATCTGTTAAGAGGAGCGGCAGGTTGTGAGAGCCCGAAGATGACATTTTAACCCAACCAACACCCAACACATATTTGGGAAATGATGTCCGAACCAGGCGTGAGCAGTCAGGTCCCGTTGAGTTTGGACAAATATTCAAGCTCTAATCTAGATGAAGTTTATTAAATGCTTGGATTTCTGTCAAATAATGAAGTGCTGTAGCTTTTAGAGAGGGTAAATAGAAAGTTCTTGATCTGTGGGTTTGGGAGGTTAGTACTAATGATGTAGTACTCGAGTCCAGTCTCGGTCTTGATACCAGTTTCAACCTCACTTGAACTCGAGTCGGGGTAAGGTGGACTTGGAAATTGTTCTTGAGACCAGCTGAGTCCGATGCCTCTGTCTAAGATAACTGGAAACTGAATTATTATTGAATATCAACAAAAATCTGAATAAACAGAATAAAACAGTCCTTTCGCTATATCATACATACGTTGCGGGCCACACAAACAACCACAAAAGCTTCCACAGGTTTAACCGACCACATCAATTTCTTCTCACTCACTAATTGAGAAGCTGATTTGGCAGCTACCGAGTGCTGGATGTCAGGCTCAAGAGAGGAAAGCTGCAAATGGAGTTCTGGCTCAATTTGACAGTTTTGGATCAGTGTTTAGTCTCCGATTGAGGGTATAAACTGTTGGGTTCCAAGCTTAATTTGAACCGACCTCTGAGCAAACAGCACAGAGCAGTAGTTCAGCGTTTCTCATGCAGGTGAAGCCCAACACTGCGTATTTGCTGCTGTATTTATTTCGGTTATGGTTTAACTGACAATATACACATAACTAGCTAAGAAGCCAGAAAAAACAATGAGGTCAGTAATAAAGACAGATAGACAGACAGACAGACAGACAGACAGACAGATAGATAGATAGATAGATAGATAGATAGATAGAAAGATAGATAGATACATTTTTTTACTGTGTTAATCCCAGAGGGAATTCCTTTAATTGCAGCAGTAAAGAGCAAAATGAACAGGAGCAAAGTATTGTCTTACAGTATTTACAGATGCATAAATAGAAAGATAAATAATAGAATGAAATAAAATAAAATATACTAAAAACAATAAAAATAATGTGCAGTACAAGAATAAGAGGTAAATTGCATAAATACAATGCAGTGGTGCACGTCCCCTCCAGTGAATGAACAAGTGACTATGTAATGTAAACGATAACCAGTGCTAACAGTTGTAGCTATATAGATTTTTTGCAGTCAACCATATTTGTCGTATTTAAAATTACTGTTGTTGTAACAAATTTGTGGCTTAAAAAAACTGCAATACCACCACGGCCCACTGTGTGGTTGCAGCCCACAGGTAGAAAACCACTGCTGTAGGTTGAAGATGTAATTGATCTTTTTTATGATGGCTCAGCTGAGTATTGTTTGTTGAAGTTTCATTGGTTCCAATTCAAACATCCTTTGAGGGCAGATCAGAATGTTGTTATTATTATTGTGTTATTATTAATAGTAAAAATTGATGCATGTTGTTTGGTTTATACTCAGTTGACTTTAGTGATTCTGAAGAAGTTTTAGAGAAGAAAAAAACAATAACCTCAACATTTTTCACAGTTACAGTGTGAAGTTGGACTAAGACTGTGATGTAATAAAATTTAGTAATGTTTCAGGCCAGATATTATTTAATGTTATATTTTACAAAATATATTTTAAAATATAAATGTATGTATTAATATGTAATGTATAATTAATGATAATGAATGTACAATTAACATTGACTAACAGTTAATTAATAAATGAATTTCAGGGTTTTCATATGGCTGCTGTCAGAACAAAACCTCGTATCTCCAAAACGGTAACTTTACAGGAGACGGAAAAAACCTACTTTACTTTTAATGTAAGTCAATGGAACCAGACATTTTTCCAAGTAATTTTGGGCCATTTCTTTTGGTCCATTCATCATGAAATTTACACAAAATGTAAAGAGCAACAGGCATTTTCAAATTATGTAAAAAAATGAAAAATGCACATACAAAGTTTTGTCCCAACAGCAGCGATATATGTAAACATATATACATAAAATATCTTATTGTCAGTCTTGGCTTGAACTCAACTACTAAAAGTACTAAAAGTCTTGTCAGACTCAATGTGTCCCGGTCTTGGCTTGACTTGGACTCAGCTCTAGCAGTCTCGACTACAACTCTACTTAGTACAGTGTAGGTTCATCATTTGCATACACTTATAGGGTAGACCCCTGTCTTTTTACATTAGCAGGTGTTCTCAGTGAAGCAGATAATCACCTTGCAAGCATCAGAGCTCATACACCGAGTCAGGCTCTGCATGCAACCTCATGAAGGGAACTGAGCTTGAACTTTTTCCAACTGTTTTTTATTCTCACACTTAATTTTGTTTTCCTTGCTTCTATGTTTTCTCAGCGTGGCAAGTTTGTAGTTAAGACTGGTTGACAAAATGCTTCATGGACCATTAACAGAACACAGACAGAAGCTCCATTCACTGCTCATGAAGCGTGCTGGTAGAAGCCCAGCAGTTTGTGAGCTTGGCTATGAATTACAAAGTTTGGGTTTGATCCCAGCGAGTAACATCTTGCTGTAGCCGTAGTGGCCTTCTGAGCCCAACACTGAAACTGCTCACAGAGATCCAGTGGTGCTTAATATATTCTGACAGTTCCATCAAATAAATCCTTATCGCAGCATTTCCCAATCCTGTCCTCGGGGATCCCTAGGCGGTCCAAACTGTTGCTCTATCTCTGCTCCCAGCACAACTATACAAGGCATGCAGTGTTCTTGATAGCTTGGTTCAGGCATGTTAAAAGATGGGATCAAGCAAAAATGTGGATTATGCAGGGATCACAATGGACTGCAGTGGAAAAGACTGTTGTATTGTTAGTGGAGCAAATGACATTTGATGTCTTTTGCCAGGCATACACTGAACAATATGAGTCTGGTTTAAGCCCAATTTGGACATTGCGACCAAACTCCAAATTTCAGCTCTGGCAGCTGTCGTTTAATGTGCAGCTTGAGGGGATAGTCGTGCTCAATTAACTGCCCAAGCAGCCTCCAAGTGAGCTGTCAGATGACAAAATGAATGCCTTTCAAAAGAATTTTGGTCAGCTGTCTTTGAGCAGGTAGGTTGAGAATGATGACACTTTATTTTGAGGTAACAAAATCCACATATGTTGACTCTTCTGTTTGGAATGTGCAGCAAAATTAGTTTCCTTGAATTGATTCAGTTCTTTCTGCAGAACAGGCATAACATTATGACCACCTCCTCGTTTCTACGCTCATTGTCCATTTTATCAGCTCCACTTACTATATAGGTGCACTTTGTAGTTCTACAGTTACAGACTGTAGTCCATCTGTTTCTCTGCATACTTTGTTAGCCCCCTTTTACCCTGTTCTTCAGTGGTCAGGACCCCCATGGACCCTCACAGAGCAGGTACTATTTGGGTGGTGGATCA